AATGGAGGGAAACAACACTTCTCAGAGGCACAGTGGAAATGTTACACAGTTTATGGCATAGTCACCCTGCCTGATGCTGTAGATGCAGCTTAATCAAAGGTAGGAAAAGAAGAACTTTATGGAGAGCCCCACCACCCTTTTCTAATACCCTAATTTCTTACCCTGTTCAAGTTCTGGTAAGCTTAGGAAAATATCTTCATGAAACCAGGAAGTTGATCAGATTGGATGGTATTTTGCTTCCCTTCTCCTTCATCCAGGCACTCAATATCCAGCGCTAATGCATTCTTTTTTAAAAGGCTTTTTAAAAAGGAGGTTTATCTGGGTGCTAACCAATGGTCATCAATGCTCTTTTAAGGAAAGAAGGGATGGTGTGCTGCACACTGTGGTGCCAGCCAGAGGAGGAGTTGATGAAGCACCTGGTCCATTTCTGAAATGTCAGACAGGAAAGGCAGCAGGTCTTTGGCACCAAAGCAGGGACTTGTCCAGCTCTACAGCATCACTTTTGAAGGTTAATGTGAAAAATGGAGACAGGAATGGGAGGGGGGGAGATAATATTAGGAGTTTGTCCCTGGATACTGATATTATCCACAGGACACTCAGAGAAAAGCTGTAGTAGATGAACCTCAAAACATGATGCGAAGTGATGATAGTACCTGGAGAACACAGGCTCACACTGGATAGCAATGTACATGGTGTAGGGCAAGAAGAGGGGATGGGATTGCTCCATGTTTAATGGCTGTTCCATGAAGAGGTTCATGGGCAGTGGGAATAATAAGCCAGGGAACGCAAGACACTGCTGCCGACCCCTCTGCCAGACAACTGGGCTGTGGTGCCCCCCTCTTCCTCAGGAACCCCACTGCTTCCTCTATCCCAGAAGGTCCTCACAGCTCACCTGACGGCTTGGCCTGGCCCTGCTGATGGCACTAGGGATATTCCAGTGCTCAGGGAGGTTGCTGGCTCAGTCAGACACTGGGGCTGGCCTGGTGTTCACAGGCCAGGGGAGCAGCTCGGTATGGTGCTAGGGGAGGGGGCAGTGGCATGGCCTTATGTGGCTGGGGCAGGCCAGTTGGGGATCCTCTGGTCTGGAGGAACCCTGAGGTTTTTCCTTTTATGGCACAGGGCTTTGGGGCTCGGAGCAGGGCTGGCGGGCTTGCCTCCCCAAAATAAGGGTTCACCTGCCGCCCATGAAGAGGTTCATGAATCAGCTAGAGCTTCCAGCTAGACGAGTTAATCATTTAGCATAAGTAATACAGCCTCTTGCTTATAGCTCTACAGAGCTCACGTTCAGCCCTTGCTGTTGGTCCAGGCAGGCTGAGGGGTATTAGTATTATGTATTACAGCACAACTGGGGTAGAGGAAAGTCAGGTCCCAGACCGCACAGGGAGACACTATGTTCATGCACTTCATGGCAGCACGCCTGCCAGCCGGTTCTGCAGGTTTGGGTTAGTGGGCTCATGCTTGCACTCTAAAAATGGCTGTGTTGACAGTGCTTGGAAGGGTGCTTCAGACTGGAGCTCTGGTTATGAAGCCCTTGAGCTGCTGTGTCTATATTGTTATTCTTAGCATGGGAGGCTCACTACCACAGGCTGGGTAGATGTGCTCTCCCCTTCTGGCCTGTCATAGAGCAGTGCTCCTTGAAGGGTTGCCATGGGAGCATCTGATCAGGCCAGCTCATTGGCTAGAAAACCCACATAGGGAATAGGGATAGAGATGCAGCCATGTTAGTCTGGCCTAGCTGAAACAAAAGACAGATAAAGGGGCATATTGCAGTATTTTTCATGGACAGTTTTAAAGTGCTACATAGTTCTGTCTTGTTTCACAAAAGGGAAGAGTGTGACAGGCAGTAGCCACCAGTATGCACAGAGGCTGCATTACTGTGGAATTACATCTTGGAAGCTGTAAGTAATTGCTGCATAGTTGCTGCTCAATTTAGGGGTGGGAGGCAGAAGTCATTCCCCCACAGTCTCACATAGATTCCCCCCAGTAAGTCTTGGTGGAAGAAAGGAGTAATTCACCTGGGGTCACAAGTGAAAGTAAGTAGGTGCGCCCAGGAGCGCAGCTCCGGCAAGAGCTGGCTGAGTTGCAGCAAAAGCTGATGGAGAGCTATGTAAAGAACTGGCAGGGACCTGGATGCAATAGGATAGAACTTGTAAGTTATTTTCACCACTGCCTGGCATGAGTAGATGAAGTAAGAAAGGGCCACAAACTCAGTGTTTCGTGAATAATTTACACTGATCGGATGGTTCATTAAATCAATCAGAACATTGACAAGAGAGTGAATAGGCTGGTCGATAATATCGCTGACCACGTAATATTGCCAGTGTTAGATTTTATACGGTAGTGAGTGATGCAGCTGTCTCTGCTAGAATCATTTCTTTGCATAAGTAGGAGAAGGTCATGAATGAGAGGTGCTAGGACAAGTAGCAGGAGGCTTTCTTCCTTCTGGGACTCTTATGAGGCCTTGCTATTTGCCATCAGAACCCTGTCTTTAAAAAGAAGGGAGCTGCTCTTCTGAATAGCTTGTAGTTGGATCTGGATGTAATTTTTTGACTGAAAATTTTCCACAAAAATGCAAATTCAGTGACACTGAAGCCGTTTGTGAATTTGTGACAATGTCACCAAACTGTTTTAGTCAGAAAACAAACCTAAAAACAATCTGGGAAAAAAAATAAAAATGTTTCATTCTGACATTTTCAAAACAAAACATTCTGATGTTTTGGTTTAAAACAACATTTTTTTTCAAATTTC